CAATTTTTTTATTTAAATTTTTTGTATTTTTTACTTTAAATTTTTAATTTGATTATTTTGATTTAATTTTTAATTTTTAATTTTTATTTTATTTTTATTTTACTTTAACTTTCAATTTCTATTTCAAACTTTAAATATTTGCTTTTTAATTTTTTTTATTTTTATTTAATTTTATTTTCAATTCAGTTTAAGTTTTAAATTTTAATTTTGAACTTTTACTTTATTTTTCCTTCATTATTGTAATTTCATTCATATTTATAAATTTTTTATTTACTTTAACGTTTAATTTTTAATTTTAACTTTAACTTTCAATTTTACTTTTTAAATTTTATTTTAGTTTTAGTTAAAATTTTTAATTTGGTTTAATATTTTTCAATCTTTAATTTTACCTTTTAAATTTTACCTTTTTAATTTGATTTAGATTTTAATTTATAATTTTCATTTAACTTTATATTTAACATTGATTTTATTTTAATATTTAATTTATACTATTACAATTTATATAATAATTATAATAATATATGGGTCTCGACGTAGTCACCTCCTCGTTGGTGAGACCCGGTAATTGGCATCGGTTTTCATTTTATATTATTTAGTCAAATTATTGCAAATATTACATTAAAAATGTATATTGTTCTATTAGAATTAGAATGTATTAAAATAATTAGTTTTTGAAAACTGATGCCAAGCTAAGAACTACATTAGTTTTAAGTTTTTACGTTTAAGTTTAATTTATTATTGTATGCTTAATTTGTAAAATTTTGATTATTTTGCAAGAAATTTCGAATATTTATAATTCGCGATATAATTTATTATAATTAATTATAATCTAAATTTTGATAGCGAACAATTATAACGTAAATTTTCCAAATTAATATTTCATACAAACATTTTTGAATGTTAAAAAGTATCATAGCAGTATTTTCTTAAACAAATGTTTGAAAGAAAAAAGAAAAAGAAGGAAAAATATCAAAGTATATTTTACTTCTTTTTCTATCCCATCCCTCCCTATTAATACAATTTTATTTTCAGTAAATTTTTGTAACCGCGCGCAATGCGGTCAGTAGAGTCAGTGTTTGCTTCCGCAAAAGTTTTTTTAAATTCTTTAATGAATAACGCGAAATTAGAATCAGTGTTTGCTCATCGAATTTAATTTAATCGGTCGCGTTAAAAGATTGTGTTTAAATAATTCGTATAGAGTCAGTGTTTCTCTCAAGAAAATAAGGCGGTCATCCATCACGCGAATAGGTAATTATTTTTCATTTTATTTAAATTCTTATTTTTCTATTTTATAAAAATATATAAAATCATTAGATTTTTAATTTTTAAATTTAGAATTTTTATATCAGAGTCTTAATTTTTATTTTTATTAAAGTACATTAGAATTTCAAATTTTACTTTACTAGATTATAATATTAGTCATTTTTTTTTTTTTTACTTCAATTTTTTCAAACAATCTGAATTATGTTTTAAATTATGTTGTTCCGCTTTTTGTTACAGATATTTTGCAACATCCTCCTACACTTGGCAATATTCTTCGCATCAAAGGGTGAGTCGCATGCATTTATGTTCCTCCGGTCACTCAATCATGTCGTAGGACGAAAGGTCCGAATCGACACGAGTGACTGGTTGTATACGTAGATTTTTGCAACGAGCATAGTAACCACGGGTATATTTATTATACCCGTGAGTAGTAACATTTTCTGTGTTTTATTTATTAGCTCAGGCTAGATCTTCTTGCACATCGCGTTTTTTAAATATTAGTAAAATAAAAATTTCTTTTTCTTTTTTACATTTTGCTTTATACAATAACAATATTTTTTAATTATTCGATTTTCAATTAGCGATCATATGTTATGAAATGTAAAATTTTTAATTTTATTTCCTTCGTATACGAAAATGTGCAAGAAGATATATCGCGACAGATAGATTTCGGAATCAACACAAATAATATTGAATATTGTGTTTTTTATTTTCGAAACTATGTTTTGATGAAGGAATCGTCTGAGGTTTTTTATATTAATATTTACTTTAATTTTTAATTCAATTATTTTATTTTGCATTTAGTATTTTTTGCTATAAATAAATTTCTTATTTCTTTTAAATTTTTTTTTTTTTTTGCCTATTAGATGTCATAATTTTAACATTTAATAAAAATTAGAGTCATTAAATAAAATTTAAAGTAAAAATAGATGATAAAATAAAGAATATTAGTCCGTTAGAGAAAAAATATATATTTATAATATTTTTTTAGCTAAGGATTTTCAGGTTTAACCCCTTCCGTGTCCATTGCCACGATCTCACTCACGTGCCCAGGTGTTACTTGGGTGAGAGAGAGGCAATGGGCACGATGACCATAGTTCATAAGTTTTTATCAGCGACTGACGATGAGTTAATGATCGTGCACGACGTATTTTCCACATTGTGTGTTTGTGGTTAGGCTGTGGAATTGCGTCGTTACGATTCTCATTTCTATTTATTATATTATCAATTGTACAATTTACAATTTACAATTAATATTACTATGAAATTGTAAATTCTAAATTGATACGAAATTTATTACATTTTATTAATACCATTTTTATTGGTAATTAAAATCGAGATAGATATGATTTTTTCACGCAATGATCGCTAGCCATCGTCAATCGATTTCAGGAAAATGGTACGTAAAGTTAGAGTGTGAAAGTGGTATCAAGCTCGGGTGTCGGAGGCGTCCCGGGACGCTCTCCCTAGTGTAGGCTTTTTGCACCCGGGTGTAACGTGTGAGAACCGTGGAGTGAATGTGTTGGTGTGATTGTTTTGCCATTTTTTAAATATAGCGTTAGGTAGGATAGGTAGTATACTTTCTGGTATGTCTGTTAATTAATAAGTAGGTAGGGCCGGGCAGGTTGTCACAGTCTCTGGTCGGGTAGGCGCGTTTTCGCGTGACAACCTGTTTCAGGAAATACGATTTGAAAAATCGAGAGTGGAGCTGAGACGAGTGGCCATTAATGACCATTCGTTTCTGGTTTTACTTATATCGATTTTTCGAATTTCGCGGTCGCGGTCGCGAAATGGGCGAAACGAACGTTGCGCTCGAGATTCTGCGCATGTGCGAACAATGGTCAGTAATGACTATTGGTCGTCCATGTGCACTCAGCTTCCGCGATTTAGTCTATTTTTTTTTCTTTTTTTTTTCACGATTAGGAAATCTCGAGCCTAGTTATAAGTTTCAGCGGGCATCGCGCCCGAAGGAGGAAGACCGAAGAGGCCCCGACAAACTGTCGCGAAGAGGGCTGCAACGAATGGCTTCTCATTTTTTGGATCTTTTTTAGATCCAAAGAATGGGAAGTTATTGTTACTACTTTGTTACTATGCTCGTTTTAGAGTCTGTAGTAGTAGTAATAGTAGTAATAGTAGTAGTAGTAGTAGTATTTATGGCCGATGTGAATTCCGGTCCAACGTACAATCATCATGGGCAATCGCGATTTTTTAATTAGTGTTGCGACAAATAAATTACGGTTTGCATTAGAGTTGCGAATAAATAACGATCGCGTTTGCTTTAGCGTTGCGTTTTATAAGACATCGCGATTTTTTTTAATAATTTTAATTTTAATAAAATTTTTTTTTTAAAAGTAGTATTAAAAAATTTTACGTTTATTTTATTTCGAGTTTTAATTATAGAGATATTAACTTTCAATTTATTTGTATTTGTACTAAATTCATTTTAAGAATTAGTGTTGCGTCAAAAAATAATCGCGTTTTTGAAAGTAGTGTTGCGATAAAAAATGATCGGGTTTTTGAAAGTAGAGTTGCGTTTACAAAATGCCCATGATTCTTCTACTAATATTGTGGAAATGGTCTTGTTTTGGGATCATAAAATGCAGTTATAAAAGCTGCAAAAATGTGGTCCTGCTTTTGGATCACAAAGTGGGAAAACGGGCAATCGCGATTTTTTAATTAGTGTTGCGATAAATAAATTACGGTTTGCATTAGAGTTGCGAATATATAACAATCGCGTTTGCTTTGTGTTGCGTTTTATGAGACATCGCGATTTCTTTAGTAATTTTAATTTTAATAATATAATTTTTTTTAAAGTAGTATTAAAAAATTTTATGTTTATTTTATTTCGAGTTTTAATTTTAGAAATATTAATTATAGAGATATTATAGAGATAACATTCAATTCATTTGCATTTACTAAATTCATTTTAAGAATTAGTGTTGCGTCAAAAAAAAATAATCGCGTTTTTGAAAGTAGGGTTGCGTTTATAAAATGCCCATGATTTTTCCACTAACATTGTGGATCCTGTTTTTGGATCACAAGTGTGGTCCTTATAGCCTTTTTTGGCTATCATTTTTTTTCAGCGCCCCTAAATATTAGCATTTGTTAATGAAAATACTGCTAAAAAGTTTATTCACTTGAACTTTAAACTTTCGTATTGTTATTTAAAATCGTTTGCATTATGCAGTAAGAATATTAATTTATTTATTATTATAAATTAATAATTTATTTAATATTATAAATTAATAATTTATTTAATATTATAAATTAATATTCTTACTACGATATATAAGTACAAACACAGTCGATTTATTTGGAATAAGTAATGACAAATAATTATTCGTTGTCAAAATTAAGTTTTTCTCTACAATTTCGGTAAAATTAAATAAAATTTGTCAGTATTTTTGCATTTTTAATTACGATTGAATAAATATTCGGAATTTCTGTGTGAAATATCAAAATAAAAATTTTATATTTTTTTTATATTTAAAATTTTTAATTATCTGCGTTTTAATTTAAAATTAAATTTAAGATTTAAATAAATTTTAAGTCTTAAATTTAAGTCTTAGCTTTAAGTTTAATGTAAAATAGATATTTAGATTAAGTTTATTGTGAGCACATTCGGTAAAAAGATACACTCTTTAACATAAAATAAATATATATACATATTTTCAAAATATATTACATATTTTCAATCAAAATTTGCTTCTTTCTCTCTCTTTTTTTTTATTCTGCTTTAAATAAGAGTGTATCTTTAGTACGAATGATGCCAGTAGGATATACAAATCGTAGATTTAAGATGTATCAAAAATATAGTTTTAAGTTTTAAATTTAAGCCTCATCGTTGGACGAGGTAGGATTAATTGCGTGCGAAAAATTGCGATAAATGTAAAAAATTTTTGTAAATTTTTGTAAATAGGTGAGATCCGGTAATTGGCATCGCTTTTCACATTTCAAAAAATATCTTACAAATATTTCGTTAAATATTTTTCAAAATATTTTACATTTAAAAATATAAGATACATTTCGTGAATAATAATTTTCGAAAAGCGATGACAAGCCAAAAACTACGCATATTTTCACTCTAGTCTAAAATATGATTGCTTTTAATTATTTTGATTAATTATCAATGGACTAGACTGAAGATATTTAAAAAATCTGGACAAGCATATTCTGGTTAATCCTTTTTTCTTTTTATATTATTTTCTAATTTCCAACAAAATTTTTGTAACCATATCAAATTTCTCTTTTTTTAAATGAGACCAGAATATGCTTGAAACAGATTTTATTAGTATAGTTAGGATTTTTATTATAATTTATCACACATTTATCGATAACAAATGTTATGCGTGCGTTTTAGATTTAAGTCCTAGTTTTAAGTATAATGTAAGATAGAATTAAGATTTAGTATTAAGATTTAGATTTTAATATTGTAATTTATTGTATTCGATGTTAATAATAACATGCGTGCGTTTTAGATTTAAGTTCTAATTTTAAGTATAATATAAGATAGATTTAAGATTTAGTTTTAAGATTTAGATTAAGTTAATTTAAGACTTCATCGATGGACGACGTTGGATATAGTTTTAATAAGTATATTTATATAATTATACATTAAGTAATATTCTTTTATGTAATCTTTTTATATTTTTAATTTATTTACAAATTGTATCAAATTTCTTTTCTGCGTTTAAGAATTAACTTATAGATTATAAATTGTAATGTACATTTTAATGTAATAATTTTTTTGTAAAATAAAAAATGGGTCTCGATGCGTAGTCACCTCCTCGTAGGTGAGACCCGGTAATTGGCATCGCTTTTCAAATTTTATATTTAAAAAAATTTCTCATAGATATTTCATTTGAAATTTTTCGAAATATTTCAAATTATATTTTACCATTAATAGTTTTCTTATTAGTTATTTATTCTTGATAGTTATTTTATCATTAATAGAAAAGCGATGGCAAGCCAAGAACTACGCACACCTTCAGTCTAGTCTAAAATATGAATGCTTGTAACTATTTTGATTAATTATCACTGGACTAGACTGAAGGTACTAATAAAATCTGGACAAGCATATTCTGGTTAATCCTTTCTTCTCTTCATATTATTTTCTAATTTTCAACAAAATTTTTGTAATTTTATCATTTTCCACTTTTTTTTTAATATGATACCAGAATATCCTTGATACAGATATTAGTTAATAAACGAATATTAATTAGATTATTATTATTAAGCGCATTCTGTATCAAGATACTCTCCTCAAGCTTAAAGCGAAAAATAAGATTTTTAATTCTTTGATAACTTTCGTTTTGATTATTTTTTAATCTCGAGTTTTTATTTTTATTCTGACTCTTCGAATCGTTTCTTATTTTCTTCTTCAATTTCTTCCTATGACTATGTTATGGTTTGTTATTTCTTTTTTGTTTATTTCAAATCACTGTCAATCACGTGCCATGCATCAATGGCAGGAATTGTTGGATTAGTACTTTACTTCCGGTGGTCAATCAAGAGTCCGCGCTCAGATCGATTGGTGCCATCGAGTACTCGATCAGAGTTAGGCCTTGCGGTCGAAAGTTGTCTTGGTTAGCCGGCCCAGGTGGTCGAGGATCTTCCTCGTTCCTTCCTGTGTCGCTGGGACATCTTTTCTTCTCGTCAGGCCGCTGTCGTAACTCTTGACTGATCACGACTGGCAAGTATTGACTGTCCGGCGATTCTCGTAAGTCCAGTGTTATAAGTCGTGACATGAGAATGACAGTGATTTATAGGATATTCCACTTTTTAAGTTTTTTTTTTTTTCCGTATCTTGACTCGTATCTTATGCTCTTCTTCAATAATTAATCCTGTCTTGTTTCGCTTGTTTCCTTGCTGAACATTACGATTCTTTTTAAATTAAATAACAAATGCTTACTTTTTTCAAATTTCCTTTTTTCGCTTTACGTTGATCGCGAGTATTCTTGATACAGAAGTTGCAAATAAATTTAAGATTTAGTTTTAAGATTTAGATTTTAATATTTTCATTATAATTTATTATATTTAATGTAAATGATAAGATGCGTGCGTTTTAGATAAGTCTTAGTTTTAAGTATAATGTAAGATAGATTTAAGATTTAATATTAAGATCTAGATTAAGTTAATTTAAGACTTCATCGATGGACAACGTTGGACGACGTTGGACGACGTTGGACGACGTTGGACGACGTTGGACGACGTTGGACGACGCTGGACAACGATAAACAACGTGGGACATAGAATTAATATTTTTATTATAATTTATTATATTTATTGTAAATGATAAGATGCGTGCGTTTTAGATGTAAGTCCTAGTTTTAAATATAATGTAAGATAGAATTAAGATTTAGTATTAAGATTTAGATTTTAATATTTTTATTGTAATTTATTGTATTCGATATTAATGATAACATGCGTGCGTTTTAGATTTAAGTTCTAATTTTAAGTATAATATAAGATTGATTTAAGATTTAATATTAAGGACTAGATTAAGTTAATTTTAGAATTTCATCGATGGATGATATTGGATGATATTGGACGATGATGAACAACGTGATGGACATATACTTTAATTTCTATATCATAATTAAATGTATTCGATATAAATGGTAAGATGCGTGCGTTTTTTGATTTAAATTTTAGGTATAACGTAAGATAGATTTAAGATTTAGATTTAATTATTTTTATTATAATTTATTATATTCGATGTAAATAAAATGCGTGTATTTTAGATTTAAGTCTTAGTTTTAAGTATAATGTAAGATAGATTTAAGATTTAATATTAAGATCTAGATTAAGTTAATTTAAGACTTCATCGATGGACGACGTTGGACGATGCAGGAGATACTTATATAATTATATATTACGCAATATTACAATTTTTTTCATTTTTTTATATTTTTAATTTATTGATCAATTGTATCAAATCTCTTTTCTGCGTTTAAAATTTAGTGTATAGGTATTAAATTATATCATTTTAATGTACTAATTTTTTAGTTAAATAAATTTAAAAAAAAAAAAAATATGGGTCTCGATGCGTAGTCACCTCCCCGATGGTGAGACCCGGTAATTGCCATCGCTTTTCAATTAAAATTTTATATTTAAAAGAATATATTATAAATATTGCATTTGAAATTTATCGAAATATTTTAAATTATATTTCAACATTAAAAGTTTTCGAAAAGCGATGGCAAGCCGAGAACTACGCAAACCTACAGTCAAGTTTAAAAAATGATGAAACTTATATCAAACACATTTTATTACTTAAATCATATAAAAATCGAAGATGTTTTACATTTCTATTATTTCTCGCCGATTTTTGGTAATAAATCAAATTACAAAATTTTTTGTATATACACTTATCTTATGTACATAAATTTTATAAAAGTATAGACAAAAAGAACAATAAGAGACAAAGAAAGAAACGGAAACGAATTCAAATTATTAGTTTTTAAAAATTAATACCATCCGTTAGAACCGGAGTATTAG